TCATCCTGATAGGAAAGAAAGAGGCTGGCTAAACAGAAAACATTCCTTTCTGGTTCTTTGATATACTCTTGGAAACTTAACAGGAGATTTTCCTCACAAAATGAGCTTTTACTTAAGCAAATATATTCTGGGAGAATGTAAGATGGCTCTAAAACACAAGAAGGAAATCAAAGTTATCCATGACTAGTTGAATTGTGTAACTTCATGATATTGGGAGATTCTACTCAATGTTGGTGGACCAATCTGAATAGCGGATATTGACAGACTTAATTCAACATATATGCCCTGAGCATACTCTTTTGCATATAGTAGGGGCTTAATACCTATTTGGAAAAAAAATCAAACAGAAGCAGATTTAAATGTGTAGATTCAATCATCCTTATTGGTACTGTTCATACTTTAACTTTTAACAAGAGCCATTTCGCCTCTGCTTCCAAGTGTAATGATGAATAATTTGTACCTTGAATTAGAAATAAAAATGACTATAAAGAAATCAGAGTCCATGCTATTATTACTCAATCCTAACAGAGCCGTGCTTATAAACTGCAAAAGGAAGCCGTTTCTCTAATCTGTGGGGATGTTCCAGCCCACCAAATGAAAAATAAAGCCATATTCAACAGCAGCCAAGGAGTTATGGGTATGAAATTGTGCCTCCATCATTCCCTGAAATGCATGGTTGAGATCATTCAAAGTAACACCTGGAAATCTACTAAAACAATCACAAGGCGGGTTGGGAGTTTATCCTTTTTGACCAGTTCCACAACCCACTTCTGCCACAGTGAATTTTAATTGCATATTATTCTAGAGAAGAGCTCCTATGCTAGGATTAAGTCAGAAAAATAAGCAATTGCACTGCGTTATTCATCATTCCAGCATAAATGAAAATAGAATGGACTTAGAGTAGAAAACTACTTTTCAGCAGGGAGAGGATTTGTATATAATGAGACTATCAACCTCAAGGTTTGGACCCAATATTACAACAATCTATGTGTTCAATGAACAAAAATTCAATTCTAAATTACTTTTTCCATAGTACAGATAAGGGAATGGTTTTCCTTGCATTGTCTACAATTCCAAAGTATTTTTTTAATTTTTATATGATTAGGATAATATTAATCAAACCATTGGGGTATACACATAGATCATCCTTCCTAAAGTCTTGCCTATTTCCATTATACATTGTATATCTTTGTGGTCAGCCTCCTACTTTAAGTTTCTATTGTGTCTTTCCAGGCAAAGAGGAGAGCTATAATTGACCCTGAGTCAAGAATATAATTATTTCAGATATATGGAATTTTTCCTTCTTAGAATTCATCAGAGAAATGTTTTTGCCAGTGAAGAGAGAAATCCATTTATATTGTTAAGAATGTAAGCGAAAAGCCAGGAGATTTTGATACTTACTGAGCACCTACCATGTGCCAATCATTTCTTTACATATATTCTCTCATTGAATGAAGCATTATTACCCCATTTTGATAAATGAGAAAAAGGAAACTGTGGAGCCATGGAAGCAAAAAGACCTACATTTGTTGAGCAAGTGAATACTAATGTGAGGTGCACTTCATACTTACAAATTCATTTAAAATTTACATATCCATCCCCACGTTACAGTTAAAGAAACTTAGGCTCGAGATGCTAAATAAGTTGCACAATATGATATATCGAGTAAGCAGTTAAGTTGAATTGAAATCCACGTATTTTTCCCAATTATATCACAAGTCAGCATAAAATCCTTTTAACGTAGCTTCTCGCAGAGAAACTGAAGAGTTTAGATGGTTTCCTGTCTGCTTAAAGAGAAGATTGCTATTTCTAAAACTGTTACGTTCCTCAGCAGGGAAACGTATCTGGGAACATTTCCAGAATTAAATTTATCCATAATTAAATAAATAAAATTAATAAAAGTAAATATTAGAGGCATCTTCCTTGGCTCAACTGTACGTTCCAAGACAGGTCCAGTCACTAAATCTGCCCTATTATAATTTCTTTTCTTTCTTTATTTTTTTAATTACTAAAATTGTTGAACACATTGCTTCATTATAATTTCTTTTTAACTCATCTATCTGCTGCTCTAGATTAACAGTTTCTTGAGAGCAGATATCTTGATATATTGTAGGCATCTAATACCTGGTACTTAGCAGATGCTCAGTAAAAATTGAAAGGATAAAAGATTGAATAAATAAATTAATTAACAAATGAACAAATATACGAATCGACTGGGTACCAAGTCAGATTCATTACTTCATTCATTCTAGCAAACTTCAGAATACTCTAGATTATGGCCCTCACACTGAAGGTGGTATGATGCCCCCAGGCTGCCTCAAGTTACAGATTTAGGTTGGCAGGTACTTGACCAGGATTCAGCTTAATTGAGTGTTACCCACCTCTGCACCACTTCGAGATGCTCAGATATTGATCTCTAGTAGCTGATAGACTAAGGTCCCTCTGATTCTGTGATTCTCTGTAGCATACTTTCCCCCACTTCTCCTTCATTCCTCTGTTCCACATACACATTTTATCTTGATATCGCAAAAATATTAAACGTAGGGCTTTCTTTCTGCTCACTAGAATGCCTACAAATAATGTGTAGTGATTATGAGCACAAGTTTCAGGTCAGACTAAGTAGGCTATCATTTATGTGACCTTCAGAAAGATACTTAAATACTTCTAAGTTTCAGCTTCTCATGTATAAATGGGGATCATAGGAGTACCTACTTCAGAGAGTTATTGTGGAAATTATATTAGATGATGAACCAAATGTAGTGATGATGGCTCCTGACACATTATTTTTCTAATATCAGAATGAGATTGAGAAAATGTCTTTTCATCGGCTGTTCAGTTTATAAAGACTTTTGAATTAAAACCAAGAGAAAAGAGAAATCCCCATTATCCCCCGAAGAAAATATTAATTGAATAATCTAGTTGCAAGGATGGGAATATCTATGGTTTGGCCAAGCTTCAGATCCTGTGTCCATCCTGGCGATGAGGATGAGCTGTTTTGGTTGTTGGCCTGGGTCATAGGACCTCCTCAAGGAACTGGGATGTGTGAGGGGGTAGGAAGGGAGTACCGTCTTACGCAAACCACATGGACTGAGAGCAAAAGAGGAGATGTTCACTAAAGGAAAATCAGGGTGCTACTGCCGGAAAGAGCTTTAAAAGCTGTTAAGTATCCCTAAAGAACTAAACCAACCATGGATAACCAATATAGGATGACATTACTAACGAAGAGAAATAAAAGCACCTCCAAATGCCTTCTTTCTCCTATTCAAAACCAAAATATGGAGATACAAAAGGGAAGCAGGACATTTCAAGGCCTAGTCTGATTTAATTTAATTGGAACCACAGAGGAATTATTGCTGTAGAGGCCACAAAATTGAGTCTAAGCATCATCAGTGAAATGGACATAAGTGTATATCTGAGTAGGTTAATTAGGGTTTTCTTTAATAGCCAATTTGGCTAAGATAAAATTTCTTTCTAAGGGTTCTTTCTACCCTCTCTCATAAATTACTCAGACTCTTAATTCAAACTTTCCACTTTGCCTACAGAGACACAGCCTTGAAAGGCATAGCTCCCCAAATTTAGACTATTCACTTACCTCTAGGGGAAGCATGCAAATAAAAGGACAGAAATTATGCAAATAAAAGGATCGATTTTTCTATGCCTGCCCATCCTTATCATATTTAAATAAGACCTGATGTATTCCCTTGTCTCGGGAAAGAATAAGTAAGAACAACAAAATTCAGAAAGACATAAATTGTCAATACCTCATAATGTAGCTCTGCTCCAGAAGCCTTCGTCAAAGTAAAATTCCTGTTGACGGCAAGCTCCAAATACTACTTAAATCAGGGCATTTTGTCCCAGAGTCATTTACTCATGAGTGTGTATGTGTGTGTGCATGTGTGTGTTTGAGTGTGTACATATTTGTGTTTCCTTTATTCTCTCCCCTTACATTTCTCTTCATAAGAAATTTCCTCTCTTTAAGGTCATCTACCCCTCAAACTACCAAGCATCGAGGAACGAACATAACACTTAGACAATATAATTTTGTTTCTTAAATAGAATGTTAGATATACAAGCAATATTTTTAAATGTTCACAGGAAAAGAAAGATAAGCAAACGTAGAAGGTCATGGAAAGTTTCCTTTCTCTTCTCCTTTTGTGTTTAAATAGCACATATATTTTGGGTTACAAGTTACAAGAAAATTACAGGAAAATATTAGGAAGACCATTAAAAAAGCATATGAAATATGAAAATCACAAGAGATAAACAATGAACACAATTAAGTAAATGGCCTGCCAGTTTTTCAATCTCTAAGCCAAGCACTAGATTCCAGATTTAAAATGAATAAGAAAACCATAGAAGCTGAAACTAAGCCACACAGACAGAGAAATCTTGCTTAATTCTATTGTGTTCTTAAAACATGGATATTTGAGCAGGTAGTATATCAGATAAGTATGCTGAAACATAACTTTTATTTATTACCAGCAGAACTAAATAAACTCTGGAGGAGTACATGACAAGAAATGAAAACCTGGAACCAATTAGAGACGTTCTCAGTTCTGGGCTAGGTCTGTTTTCCCTGGAGGATCTACAAGCCTACAGCCAACATGACTTCCAAGATGTATCAAATTAAACACTGTAGACTTAAAGGAAAATACCACTGGATATTGTAGACGACCTTTAGAAAAATGTTTTATGAAAACACACCTCAATAGTTTAACTTGACAGGCCAAGTCCATTATTAAACGAAAATGTATCTATATCTCTCAACAAATCTTGACTCACGTTGTTAGCACTAGATTCATATCGATAGCTTCCTTCCCAGTTCCAAAAGAAAATATAATCATCCACGTGCTTGCTATTGTGGAAAGCCTTTTATCATTGGATTACAAATGGCCTGTTTCCTTCAAACCCCATCTTACTCTTTTCTTAAAATCTCACTTAATATATATTTTGTATATATCATATAAAATATAAATATATGTTACATATTATATTATACTATTATCTATATATAAATGCTTAACTATACTGTTATGGGATAGAATGGCCACAGAGTTGATAAAGAATTCCCACTGAGATTTAATTTAGTGTCATGGATTAGACATTGCACTCCTAATAATTCCCCATTCACCTGTATTGTTAATGAGCCCTAAGGGACCAGTGACCCGCAAGTGGGCCCTTTTGCCCTGAGCTGCTGGCACCAATAGAAGGAGACTGGGGTTGGGAATAGCAGAGCAGAAACGTTATTCATTGATCAACAAATGGAGGAGGTAGAGCTCATGCTGTAAAGTACCTTCTCAAAGGGAAGGTGAGCAGGGTTCCTGTGGGATGTGAAGGCGGGGAGCTCTCTGCATCATCACTCTGGTGTGGGCATTTGGGGGCATGTTCAGACCTTTCCTTCTTGCACACAGCACCTTTTGCACACATTTTCTATTGCACACAGCACTCCATGGCCATATTGGACCTTTTGGTTTGGATTGGTCTTGTGGTTTGGCCATCTGGCAATGTTCTGCCTTGGTTCCTACAAGCAAGCACACCTTGAAAACAAAGCATTAGACATGGAAAATGTTTTAGGGACTTCCCTGGGTGACAGTAACACATTCACAAAGCCTATTCCTTGTAAATCTACCTCAGTTATCACCTTCTCTGAAAAGACTTCCATGACCATACTCTTCACCACCAGAGAGATAAAGCTATTTAAAAAAATACCTCCAGTATTTTGTGCAATGAGATAAAGTGCCAACGAACATGTAATCACGTAATCACTCTCCCATGCATGCCATCTTGTACAAACTTATGGTTATACCTGTCACACTGTATTGTAGTTTATTTAACGTCAGTATACACGATGACTGACTTACTGGGTATAAAGCCATGTTATATTCATCTTCGTACCCAGGAGCAGATGCTGCCTTACTCTGGCTACCTTTACGGAGCCAGTGCATTTATCTCCTAGCTGCCGTGAGTCTTGGCTGCTAATGGCCCATAGTTACCTTCCTCCAGAGAATTGTCTTTGGACAACAGGAGTCTAGAAATGCGTAGGAGGAGAGCTCTCATCAAACGATTGGATGATTCAAAGGTACAGGCTCAGCCTCTTGACTCAGGGTGGGATGAGTCTGTGGTGTTCTTTACCCTCCAGAGCTCCCCTACAGATCAGGCTGAGGCCAGAGTTAGCTGAACCCACATCTCTTAGCTTCTTCCCCTGCCCGAATCTGCTTCCCTCACTTCCTTGCAGTTTTCTTCCAGAAACACTCCATCAGTTAATCCCCTGTATAAGAGCCCCCATCTCGGGCCATGCTTTTAGGAAATCTAAGACATAGCTCTAAGTTCATTGGTTTCTGTGACAAATCATCTTTTTCTCCTATTAAACTCTGAGATCCCTAAGAACAGAAATGATAACTTATTCGTCTCTTCTTATCTGGTACCTAAGTTGGTGCCTGACAGATAGTACACACTCAAAAAAAAAAGTGTTTGTAAATTTGAATTTATATGTAAGTATATTTACCTCACTCCTTATTCTCATCCTGTACCGAGTGGATAAATCCTAGAAAAGGAAAGAGATGGGTCTAAGGATTATCATTGCCTTTATCATTTAATACCAACCTTTCTCTAAGACTAAAGGAATATGAATTTTTGGAGAAGTCATAAGCTCTGAAGTAAGAGGGGGATGAAGGAGCCGCCCCCTCAAATTCTATTCCTACAGTAATGCAGGTAATTAAACAGTGGTCCCTCATCAATTGAATAGATTCATTAATGGTAGCTAATGGCCATATATCAAAACTGAATTCTCTTCTGTTTTCTTTTTCAGCTTCCTCTGAGAATATTTTCCATTCCTCACTTTCATCTTACTCCCATATTAAATCAGCATTAGGTTGGTAAATATCAAACCAACTCCAGAAAATAAAGCTGAGGCATTTTCTCAGTTGCAGCACAGTATATCACCAGAGATTAAAACAAATGTGGGGCTCTGGTCTCTACTGTGTCCTTTGCAAATGATCCAATTTCTCTTCACTAAGGAAGATAGATCAGATTCCACTCAATGAATTAACAAGTTTATCTAGAAGGACAAGAACTCCTACTTTAATCAAATGCATGTGAATATATCTAAATTAATCTGAAGGCACAAGTTTTTTGATCAGTGTTTCTGCTCCAGCCTATGTCTTACTAATAAAGTAGCAGGATTTCCATGGGTAGAAAATGGAATGATACTTTCAATAGTCTAATTATCACTCCTGTTACTAACTGATCATCTCAAAGATTGGCCAAGAAAGCATGAAAATAATTGACTCTTCACCAATACATTTTGTTTGGAGATAGAGAGAGCCTTCTGATGAGAAAAGGCTCATTAGGTTTCTATAGTTCAAACTTGTGTCAAATATGCAAGATCCACCTCTCAATGAAATAACAAAAAATTACTCAAATATTTTCTCTAAGTGGATTAACTATTTGGGAACACTTGTATTTGGTTAGTTCCTCTGGGAACCTCCCACCGTCAATTGTATCTCAATTACAGAGTTATGACCCAAACAAATGAGATTGGGGGGTAGAGAGGGGGGCGGAAATTCTTAGGAAAACTGGCCTTTAGCAACAGATGTTGCCATTTAACCCAAGTAAGGTGCTGGATATGTTGGCTATGTTATCTCGTCTACTCTTTACAATAGCCCAGAGAGGGTTGTATTTTTTTATCATCATTTTACAAGTGATAAAACTTGGCTTTACAGATGGCAAATTGTTTTTACAAAAGTCACATAGCTGCTGAGTAGTAGAGCTTAAATTCAAACCAAAGACTTTCTGTTTCAAAGCCCATCATCTTCTTTTTTTATTGAGTTCATAATAGTTGACATCAATGTGAGATTTCAGTTGTACAATATTTCTTGGCTGTCCTCACATAAGTGCTCCCCTTCACCCCCTGTACGCCCCCCCCCCCCGCCTCCCTTCCCCTGTTTTCTTTGTCCAAGTACTTGTTTATATTCCACATATGAGTGAAATCATCTGGTGTTTGTGCTTCTCAGACTGCCTTATTTCGCTTAGCATAATTCCCTCTAGGTCCTTCCATGTTATTGCAAATGGGATGAATTTGTCTTTTTTTCTGACTGAGTAGTGTTCCATTGTATATATATATATTATTCCATTGTATATATATATTCCGTTGTGTATATATATATATACCACATCTTCTTTATCCAATCATCGGTCGATCACAGCCCATCATATTTTGACTTTATCATCCTGCATCAGGTTAGCTAGTATTTACTAAGGGTCTATTTTTTGCTGAGCTATTAAATCTTGGCATTTCTGTGATCTAGGAACTGAAAGTTTTTGTGGACACTCCTTTTCTTTATGACACGAGTATTTATAATCCCATCACTCTTCTGCTATATTTTTTGCTAACTAACTAACTATAATAAAGGTTTGTTATAAGAGGTAATTCTATACCTTAAATAAGAGTGGATATAGTCTTCTTTAAGGTTATCAAAATGAGTTAGTCAAATGCAGCAGATGCTTCCAAGGCATGCTAAAGCTTCAAAGTATGTTAGCAAAATAAAAATAAATTAAATTAACAGTATTTCAAATAAATTGCTAACTTCTCACACCATATCATCTATTTCTCATGTTCCTTATTCCAACAAAAGAGACTCTGTGCACTCAAGATCTGGACAAAATGGCATCAAGGGCGAATTAGAGGTGTATAGATTAGCCTGAAGATGACCTGTATATGATGGGTCCAGGCTATCTTCAGGCTTTGCCTTGGTGATGGTGAAGTGGTTTGAGAGGGTGTATGTAGATGAGTCTGAGGTCCTTTGGGAACACTACTAGCCACAGCTGCTTCCTTACCTTTCCCCTCTATAAGTGCTGGCCTGATCCTTACTTCCCATCTCCAAGAATCAGAGTTTCCAAGATGCTGCATCAGAACTCTTCTTTTCCCCTGCTTCCAGAGCTTCTTGATGCTCTCTCTGTCTTTTTTCCTCCTCCTGGAGGAGTTTCTGCCAAGAGTACAGAGGATTGGCCCATCCTCCCACCAACAGTTGTCCATCAATTTTGCTGCGCTGTTTTGCAGGAGGTTCTTACCTTCTGTAGAAAGCTACAGTACTCATTTGGCCTAGAGATGCTATATCATAATGATTTTAGGACTTGGGATCCATCTCTCTTCTCTTTGGTCCCTCATCTCATCAACTTTTCATGACCTCCCATCCGCTAATGCACCAGTTCCTGTGCCTTCAGCTCCTGCTTCTATCATGTAGAAGTAGGAAGAAGAGGGAACAGCAGTGTGGTGAATGTCAACGTTAAGCTTTCAAACTCTATTTGCAAACCTGACAAAGCACTTTATAATCTCCATATGAAAGCCAAGTTTAAAGTAAAGACTTATTAAATCTGTATACAAATGAATAAATTATTGCTAATGGCAGGACTTTCTGTATTCCTCTTCAAAACTGAACCAGGACAAATTACTTTCATTTTAAACAATAAATTCATTTTCCAATATCCAGGATACCTCACTAATCCATTTCAGGTTTTCAGTATAATACAGATTTGTCTACATTTGTAAAATGAAAGACCTAGCTGCAAGAGAAATGAGGAAGAAAGCAAGGACTGCATTACAGGGTAGTATGGAAAAACCATTAAACCAAAATTCATTTTAAACAAATTCCTGCTAGACAGTGTGGGTTGAGTGTGATTACTAGTTCTAGGAACTCATTATGAAACAAAAGTTAAACATTGCCCTGGAAAATTGATACAGTGAGTTGAATTCATTTATCCATTGAATAGCAAATAGAACTCAGTTTTGGCAAGGAGAGTCAGGATATCTGGGAAGAGAATTTTATCTCAAGGATGTATTTGAGAACAAGTTAGGTTATGAAAAATAAAAGGTACTGAGATGGAATTTTGCACGATCATTTACAATGCGGTGGATTTATATTATGTCAATTTAGCTCAACTGGAACAAAGTTTCTCAAAATTCCCTTCCCTACATAGTTTCTGGTTAGCATGAAGTATCAGCCACATTCTTTCTTGCATTCAGAGGGTCAAAGCAGGCAATGAGACTCCTTGCAGCTTACACACTTTGTTGCTCATTGTTGGCTCACCACCCTGGGGTAGCATCCCCCCATACTTACTGCAGCTCCTGCCGGATCCTCCCTTGGCTTCTCTGACCCCTGTGCTAGGTGCAGCTTTAGCTCCATGAAGGGCACTAGCTTCCCTGCAGGATACCCCTATTGTGGGTGTTGCAGTTGTAAAGGCAGGGAGAGACTGTCATGGATTTTAGCCTGTCCTTATGGGCTCCATCAGCTTTGCAGGTTCCCATTTGTGCTCACTTCCCTCACTGCACATCCATCCTCCCTCTCAACTGCCTGCTCTGTGGATTTCCATCTCCACCATCAGACTAGAAGAAAACACTTCACATAATGATTTAACCATATCCCAGGGCTGTGTAAGGCCAAGCCACCATAATAAATCCCTTATTTAGATATTAATGTCTATTTCAGAGAGGTTGTGTCTCTCTGATCAAGCTCTGACAGAAACACAGGGTGAGGTTATTAGAGTAGGAAAAATTGGGAAGATAATTGGGCAAAGCACCTTTCATTTCTCAGAAGAAAGACAATGCCTTTGACTAAGCTATTATTGCTGCAACGGTCTCCATAATGCTCCGCAAAGGTTAAATCTATTCTATTTAAGACCTTTAGTTGTGCACTGAGGATAAAATAATTTACTAGCAAACTATTTCCTTGAGATTTAGTATCTTCATATAACTTTATCCATGTTACTGGAGTTATTAGTCACACACTTTAAAATCATACACAATAACTTATATTTATGTATATATTTATGAATATATATATGTATATATTATGAATATTTATGGCTAATATTCTAAGTATATTCAATATTTGGCAATATCTAGGTGATGTCACTATTCTTAGTAGCTGATGTTCAAGATTTAAAACTTTGCTTTGTGTACCACTTTTGATGGGTATTTTTAATTGATGACCTGATTTTTTTTCTCAAAACAATTCTGAGAGGTCAGAAAAGAGCCAGTAAGTAGTTGGAGTTTGGCATATAAGGAGAGAACAAACATTTCTGAAGCCCAAGCCATCATGTTTGCACTTGATAATGTCAATTAATTCTCGCAAACCCTGTATGGTTAGTATTATTATCTGTATTTTAAAATCAGGGAAACTGAGGCTCAGAGAAGTAAAATGTTTTGTCCAACATCTCACACCTAACAAATGACTGTGAACCAAGTTCTGCATAACTCCAAAAGCCCGGGTTCTCTCTACCCCCTGGTGTTTCTTCAAGTAAAGAGAAGCTTGCATTTCTGAAAGTTGGCTTATCAGGCTTATAGGTTTTTTTTTTCTGCATTTGTCTAACCTATGTCTTTGTTCTTACTTAATTCCAGACATATAAATAAGTTTGATTTTGCCTTTGCATCTGAAAATAATCCTCTCTCTAGCTTGAAGGAAGTTATGGAGGCCTATACTCAAGAGCTTAGCAAAAGTCCTTGATAGTGAGCACACTGTGACTTTCTCCTCTATTTTTTTTTTTTAAAGATTGGCACCTGGGCTAACAACTGTTGCCAATCTTTTTTTTTTTTCTGCTTTATCTCCCCAACCCACCCCTGTACACAGTTGTATATCTTAGTTGCAGGTCCTTATATTTGTGGGATGTGGGACGCTGCCTCAACGTGGCCTGACGAGCAGTGCCATGTCCGCGCCCAGGATCCGAACCCTGGGCTGCCGCACTGGAGCGGGCGAACTTAACCACTCGGCCACGGAGCTGGCCCCTCTCCTCTATTTTCTATAACCAAATCTTTGTTTATTTTGTCTCAAACCTCCCCCTGATGCTCCAGATTCTTTCACTGATAATTTGTCTTGTTACTCATTCAATAAGCATTGAGGGCCCAATAAGGGCAGGATACAACATTAAAGATTAGAGTTATGAATAACACATGGAATCTATCCACAATGAGATGATCTTTCTACTACAAGAGAGAATCTTGTAAAATCGAGTAAAATTTCAGCACGGTACAATATTACTATAATTTGAGAATGTACAAGGACAGTAGGAATCAACTCAACTAGGAGAATGAGTAAGGCAGTCTTCATAAAGGAACTACTGCTCGAGTTAAGACTTGGAGGACAAGTAAGATTTTTCAAGGTAAAAATCTTACAGTTAGAGGTAACAGCATATGCAAAAAGAGTATGCATGAAGTAGAGCTGCCCTTTTGGGATTGTAATAGCTTGATGTATTGGAATATAGAGAATGGGCAATAAGGCTGGTAGGAAAGGTATAACTCAGCTCAAGAAAGACTTTTTGGGTTGCGCTAAGGAATTGTGGCAATGGAAGTCATTAAAATGTTTAAACTGGGAATGAGTATGATTACATTTGCAGATCTGACACCTGTGTGCAAACAATGACTTGGAAGGAAGATCAACACTGGCCCTGGAGTGGCTTCTAGCTGCTCAACCCTAGTCTTCTAGTACTGAGATACTCAGCCAGCTCAGGTGCCCAGGACCCCACCCCTCCCTACATGCCTCTCTCCTCCTGGAAGTCAGAGCCCTTCTTCTTGGCCTTCCATCTATTGTACCCTACATCAAATGGCTATTTTGTTCTACTGTCTATTAGATTCTCTATCTTACAAGCACTGACAGATCTTTGGGTCACAACCTGTCCCCCCGACCTCCAAAAGAAAAATGCCACATATGCTACTGGTTGGGGCTTCATTATTGCCTGTGCTATCTTTGTAGATCTCTCTTGTTTCTGAATACCAACCATTCTCCATTTTCCCCTCCAGTCCTTCTAAGTCCAAGTCATGACATCTAGGGTTAGGCAGACATTTTCCACCACTGACTTTGGATTCTTAGTGAGCATTTCTATCAGTTAATCTTAACCTTGGCCAACTTCATACATAGGTAAAATTGGCCCTAGTTAACTCCCATTCTGAATACAGAACTCATCTTGTGATTTTGATACTGGACACAGCAATGAGAATAATAAAAACTCATATCCAATTGAAGCTACATTTTATTACCCTCTATATCAACTATTGTTGATTCTCTAAAGTTAAAAATCTTTTGCTAACTACCACCTTGTAACTCTAAGTTCTTCCTTAAAAGTGAATGAAGCCATAATCATACCAATGGAAAAACTGTAATTCCCTTTAGAACCAGAAAATGTTGAGATGCATTATGCACCAAGAAAAGTAAGAAGCTACGAGGCAACCAGAACCATATGACAAGGATTCAGTGTCTGACAGCTGGATGGCAGCAACAAAAAACAATGGTAAAAATTTTCATCACTTCATAGTAAAAGCTTTTCTGATAGCAAACTATTTACAGTATATTTAATGCATCTGAAAAGAGTTATACTTTTAATGTTAAAATGAATGAAATGGGAAAAAATGCCAAAGAAAGAATCAAACACTAAACCACAAAACTTCCAAGTACCATCTAATCACCAGGGAGGAAGTATGATATTTTAATGAAAAAAATCCCCCACGTATAATACCTAGAATTTTCATTTCAGCAATTGTCACTTCAATATTGAGACCCTTTGTCTGTTCTAGAGGGGTAATGAGAGGTAGAATTTTACCTGAAATCCCCTCAAGTTTCCAGTTCTCCTGGTCACTTCCTCCTAAAATTCTTCCTGTTACTAATCAATGGTACCTCATTACAATCTTAGGGTAAGTTTGAACAAAAGGAGCCATTTCCCAATGGTTGTAAAAATGAATGGAACATGAAGGGAAGTTACACTTTATACTTAGTAGAGTCACAGAATTTTAGTGACATTTAAGATTAATTCCCGACTTTTATAAATGAGTCAACTGAAAATCAGAGAAGTTAAATTGTATTAGTTAAGATGAAAAGTGATCCAGGGTTATGGCAACATTAAACTTACAAGATTTTGAGAGCCATCTTTTAAAAAAATTAACATAAAATTACATACAGGGATTCAGGTGTGGCTCATGAAAGTGGAGGGTTAATATTCTAACCAGAACTGGACAAGATAAAATCCACCTGAAAAAGCAAAAGCCAAGTAAGAGTTGAATGACCCAGATTCTGGAAATGCAGGGAAGCAGCGGGGCATCAGGGACAAGTGGAACCAGAGAAATGAACCTCACCAGGCTTGTTTCTGCCTCTGTTTCTTTCTGCATGTTGGCTTTATTCTCTCTCACTGTAGACCAGTATTCTTCATTGGCAGGAAAACATGGCTACTGACAGTTCGTAAGTTACACATCATAGAACTTCAACCACTGCAGAGATGCTTTCTCTGGGTCAAGCCAAATCCTGGGGAAGGATCTTAACTGGTCCAGTTGAGTCCAAATCAACTTCTATTAGAGGAGTAGAGTCTTACAAAAACATGGGGGCAACCATAGGCACACAGCACAGGAAAGGATCTGTGCCTCGAAGAATCTGGGAAGACAAAACAAGCACTAGATAAGTGATTTGCTCAATGCTGAACAGCTAATAAGTGGGAGATGAAGGATCATAAGCTAAGGGTCCATTTCCAGGACAATGTTTTTTTCTCTAACAGTTAACAGCAGTTACTAAAAAAATTAATTTTCCTGGCTCAACGTTTTTGTTTTCTTGTCATAGCAAGTTATAGAATGCCAAAATAAAAGCAAGAGCAAACACAAAACAATCTTACTTTTTCATTCAAAAGCCACTCACAGTTCTGAATGATCATTATACAAATCAATTCTCATCAGAGATTTAATAGAAAATATTGGACATTTGGGTTAAACATGAGTTATGTATTAACTCATACTAGAAACTGTCCTTTTTACTGCTATTCTGATTTGAGTTGCTCACTCTCATATTTTCTCTTTATCATAGGTATAGAATGCATGAAAAAGTGCTAGTTGGTTGTGCCCTGAGATAAATGTAAGATTATTGTACAGTGCTTCGATATGTAAATAGCATCACTTTAAGCTATCACTTATTAAAGCCACAGTTTTAGAACAAATAGCATATTGCCAAACATTTCAGACCAAAAAGTTCCTGCATAAGGAAGTTGCTATTGATTTCCATTTCCTAGTTAAGTAATTCTCTATCGATTTGTTTTTCTTTGCCCTAAACAAAGTGCTTCAATCATTGGAAAAATTAAAATGAGAGAAACTGGAACATGGTGAATTTTGAAGAAATATATCATAATAGAAAACCCCGAGCCTTTCTTCTTCCTGCCTCAACACAGCTTTAGGAGCATCTTTCTATTTTATTTTAATTTTTAAATTCATAAATTCCTTTTGTTTTGTTTTGTTAGGAAGATTAGCCCTGAGCTAACTGCTGCCAATCCTCCTCTTTTTTTCTGAGGAAGACTGGCCCTGAGCTAACATCCATGTCCATCTTCCTCTACTTTATAGGTGGGATGCCTACCACAGCATGGCTTGCCAAGCGGTGCCATGTCCACATCTGGGGTCCAAACCAGCGAACCCCGGGCCACCAAAGCGGAACGTGGGCACTTAACCGCTGTGCCACCAGGCCGGCCCCCCGTTTTTTTTTAATAAGCTCTGGGAACTCCTCCCCACTTGGATATATGACTTAAGTTAAAGGCATTGCTGGAAAGGATTTACATCGTGCATAAACTATACCTCTTTGATTGAGATGAGAAAATACAGAGCTTTGCAAATAATGAACGGGTTTCAGTTTTCAGCCTATGAGGCTTTCTCTGGGTTGGGCTCAGCCCCATGGCCATTTAGGGCATGACCAAAGATGTGTTCATTTTACTATGTACTGCCAGGCAAGAGCAGAAAAAGCCCCAATTCAGAAGTAGACTTTGGGAGCAAGGAAGCAGGAAACTAAAATGAAGGGTAGCAGATACCACACTAAAATGAAGGTGTATGACCAGTCTTCTAAATGAGTAAGAGAAGACAACTTGTTAATAGTCATATTCGATTTCCTTCACATAAATGAAATCCTGCCAAGCAGATTCCTTACAGAGAAGACAGGACACATGAGTAGAAAGGACGAGAGTGTGATTCCCCAGCAGATGATGTGCAGTAGAGAAACAGCAAGTGGGGTGTCGAAAGAAACATCGTAAGGGGCCCAGAGGGCTGTGAACCATTCAGAAACCAGAGCTGAGCTCACACCCATCTAGAAAACTCCATTGGCACCAAGATGGGGAGCCAATTTGAAAGCAAAGAGGCAAATTTGCAAGGTTTGCCAGACTCTTTAAAATGCAATTACAGCCACTCATCAACTTGCAGAAGACTCCTGAAAACATTTGGACATTTTACCTTCTACCTACCCACACTATAGCATTACCTTCAGAATGTCCTCTTAATGAAAAACCTTTATTCCCTCTCACACTTAGAAGAGTACGCAATTTGTGATTTACTTATATTTGCATTTTTTTCTTGAATTGCTCATTTTTCTTTACTAATATTGTACTAAGTGATCATAATTTAGAATAATATATCAAGCATGCTTAGTGTGACAGAAAGTCTCTATTTCTCCCTCCAGGTTTACTGTCTGCTCATCTCAGCCTTAACCTGTGCCCAGGGAGAATGACCTCCACCAATCGTGTCACCTGTGTTCCCTTGCCCTCTGGCTGCCAGTTGGATTTGGCCAGTAGGAAGCACCAACATGAGATCAGATAATGGGAGGAGAGAGAGGTTGAGATGTTATTACCCCCACTCTCTCCCAACAGGACAGCAGTTTAGCAGGGTGTGTTCCTCTGGAGCAGGCCTCTCAAATGGCCCCTGTCACGGGGCTGCAGCTCTCTCCAGATTCCAGCAGTAGCCTCCCCTGGTTCATCCTGGTATAGAGCTTCTGTATGACATTTTCTTAAATTATTCTTATATGTACAACATCTCCTTTTCTTCTAGAATTCTGATTAATGAAGTTGGCAAACCAACATCTTTACTAAAACAAATAGATCTGAAGAACCACAAATCTATTACAAGCAAAGTCGATGCAAAGTGCAGTGACAGCAATATGACAGAGAAGAGGGTATGTTTCCAGAAAGTAGTATGGCAGAGTGGATCAGTACTCGACTTTTCATACCAGGCTTCATATTCTGGTTCTGCCTGTTCCTAGATCCGTGAACCTGAGCACACGTTGTAGCTTCTCAAAACCTGTTTCTTTCTTAACAAGATAAGGCTGATAATAATATCTCTCCTATAGAGTTGTTGCTGGGATTAAATGAGATAATTTGATTTAAACGCATAGCATGCCATTGGCATTAAAACTGACAGCTTGACAGCTATAATTGTAGCAATGGTTTTAAAATGATGTTTCCAGGGATGAAGTCTCAACTGAGAGGTATATTCTAAACATTTTAAAGACAACTCTTTTAGTGACCTTTGCTAAGGAACATCTATAGTGCTACTTTACTCAGTTTACCAGTTGTCTCAGCATTACCATTGCTATCAAACAATAATAGGCAATATCCTGCATTGTTTTCTCTCTTTGTCAATTAGTTTCAGGTGGGATGAGGTTCCTAGCCTTAAAATATCCCCTTTCCCCATGCTGGAAAGATACAGCAGAGAGGTGAAGATGATGACAATGGTGGTGATGAGGATGGTAATTCTTACTGAGATTGACTGTGTGCCAGCATTATTCTCAGCATTTTATATGTGTTAAATCTTTCAGTCCTCATCACAATCATATAATGTTGTATATTATTATTTTCTCATTTTACAGATAGAGCAATTGAGGCAAAGATTAAGTAACTTGCCGGTAGTCACATCTTAGAGTCCTGGCTCCAACATTCATGTGCTAAAACACCCAGCTCTACTGCCTTGCCCTGAAATTTTCACCCACTTTCTTGATGCTATGGATATCTGGGGGTCCATGCTTATGAATGTAAACATTTTATTCAGAATTATAACACCACTGAAAAATTTTTGTCAAGCAAGCACTTTACGGAGCAAATATCATTAGGCCAATTTAATATATTATTGAATTTCCTATTCAGCACAGTTAAAACATTTTTATGTTTACTTTATTGAAATTATATTCATCAGGATCATTTTCCTGTAAACCGTACACTGAACATCTGATTTATTGGCCAGTCATTTTGTTCATGTCAAATGCAACCGATTAAAGTCTCTACCTGTAAGACTTTTCTTTTATGGTAATTATAATAGAGCTTCATCAGACCCACATTTAATTTACATGAATTCTATCAGCTTGGCCAAAAATTAAAATAAATCTAAGAGTTTCAGTGATTTCTCAAATCCACCCCCAAGGGATTTCCAAACATTAACAGGTTTTATACATGGTAAGGACAAAATTGAGTAGGGATCATTCCAAGAAGAAATTAAGGAATTAACTTGGTGGGAGAGAGAGAAGGGGAGGATGTCGATGAGAAACAGGTTATTAACATAGTCTCAAAATATCTCCCTACACATTATAATTTACAAAAACTACAATTTACTATACACTGGACAAACAAAACAATACCTTAACCAAGGGATAAAAATTAACATCATGAATAAAGGGCAAACAGATATGATGTGCCTACAGGTGTGATAACCTAAGAAGCACATAACATCATTTATTTAGCAATCACACCAAAAAATACATAACCAGAATCATACTATGAAGAAAGACTAGGTAAACCAAATTGTAGGACCGTCTGTATAATAACTGGCCTGTAATCTTCAAAAATATCAAGGTCAGGAAAGACAATAAAGGATAAGAAACCACCCTAAATTAAATAAGACTGAAGAAACATGATAACTAAGTACAATACACGATCCTGGACTGCATTCTGTACTCGAAGAAAAATCGCTATGAATGATATTATTGGGATAACCGATGAAACAGGAAACGGACTATACATCATATAAAATCAGTGTAGCAAAATTAAATTTCCTGAATTTGATAACTAGACTGTGATTATGTAAGAAAATACCCTTGTTCTTGGGAAATACACACTGAAGTATTGTGATAAAAAATCATGGTGTGGGCAATCTTCTCTCAAATGGTTCAGCAAAAAGCCGTGTGTGTATGTGTGTGTGTGTGTGTGTGTATGCACAGTGAGAGAATAAAGAAGCAAATATGGCAAAATAGTCAAAATTAGCAAGTCTGTATGAAGTATATTGTTGTTCTTTGCAATTTCGTGAAACTTTTCTTAAATTAGAAATTATTTCAAAATAAAGTTTTACCTTTTTTTAAAGATTTTATTTTTTTCCTTTTTCTCCCCAATGCCCCCCGGTACATAGTTGTATATTCTTCATTGTGGGTCCTTCTAGTTGTGGCATGTGGGACGCTGCCTCAGCGTGGTCTGATGAGCAGTGCCATGTCCGCGCCCAGGATTCGAACTAACGAAACACTGGGCCGCCTGCAGCGGAGCGCGCGAACTTAACCACTCGGCCACGGGGCCAGCCCCAGTTTTACCTTTTTTTAAATAAAAGAATTACTTGAAGGCCTTAGAGAAACACTCACCAAAATGGGAAAAATTATTAAAGTCTAATGCAGAAAATAATGATAATGCTAAGCCAGGAATTTGGAATTGTCACAAAATTGTGGAAATGTTGCAAAACACTTGAATTATTTACTTGCTGATTATGGGCCTTCTTTGTAATTACATGTTGCATATGTTATCCAGTTATACGTACATATTACTGTACTGTACCAAGAATCTTTGTACTGTATATTTATGGGCAATTTAGGGATTTTCCAGGGTAACTTTCACTCTACGTGATTTTCAACTTGTTTTAGAACTTAAAATCAGTTTTTAAAATGTTACTTCACTGTATTTCTAGGAAGTCCAGTTTTTCTAGGTCAACTTTTGCAGATCTAAATGTTTAAGGATTTTCCTCATCTTGGGGTTTGTGTTGATTTTTTAGTTCTGGTCACGGTGTGCTGGAGAGTCTGATTTTTCTCTCCAGATCTGTGTTTTACTTTTGGCTATCCCGCTCTGAATCTAGAGGTTGCACCCAGAGCTTCTATGCCTTCTTGTTTCCAGTTGGATGTAAACAAGGGGAGACATCAGTTGCATACCAAAGGGTGAGAGCTGAGTGACACTGGGTATTTTCTCCCAGGCCTATCCCTGACCTGGCCAATAAAGGCTGCATTCCTCTACTATGGAGGCCATGGCTCCTGTTGAGTGGTCATCTCCTACAGCTGTAGCATTTGTCCCAGTTTCCAGTAACTGCTCTGTCAAATGCTGGCTCCAGAAAACATTAGCAAAATCATCTGCTGATAAAGCAAAGCTGAGTTTTTTGCTTCTCACAGGAAGACCGATGCCTCCCTCGACAGAATCTTAGCAGCGACTTGTAGGAGGGAGAGCAAAGTCAGAAAATATATGATGTTTTGAAGGTCTGGTTTAAGGTGGATTTTTCAAAGTGAAGGTTTGTTTAGGATTGGGCAAAGCTCATGATAGAATAGTCCAGGATTGGTGGATGCAGCAAGACAGAGTTTCCAGGTGAGTTAAAGAATAATTTCTTAATAAGCTTGCTTGAGCTATCTGTTATCCTGAGAAGGGTATATTTACTCAAGTGAAGATAAGCTAAGTAGTATGGCATTGAGATGAATGGACTTTCAGGAAGTTCCTGAAACAAGCAATAAAGTTCTTTGAAATTTCATCTTCCTGGGCATGAGTTGCCTGAAATAACAAAGTCATGTTAATGTAGACTGTAAACTGTGTGGGTGTAAGTGGTTTCTGTTCTCAGCTCCCATCCTTTCAGGCCTATGGATGGTAATGACTCCCCACTGTTACTAGCCACAGGGTGCTCCATCATCCTGTGGTGGGTTTTCCTTCCCTGCCTACACCCTTGTCAATAATCTATTAAACTTTTTTCAATTACCCCTTTTGTAAATGAATGTGCCATCTGTTTCTTACTGGGACCCTCATGATAAAGATAATTATGAGTTGGATAAACATTTGTTCATTTGTATATATTTATTATAAACTCGGCAACTCACCCAATCGCTCTGTAGCCCAGTATTAATCCATTGCATTGCTAGTCTAAGTCAATATCATTGCATATGGTTTGATCACTGAAGGTGCAGCAAAACACAAACCACAGAGTAAGAAATTGCACTTTGTGCCTGGATCTATTTGACCCCACCTACAGAAGTGGTCTCATTGATCTTTTGAACGGTGCTGACAGAGGACGGGAAGGACTTTAAACCACTCCAGCTAAAGACTGAGAAATTAGCACCTGTAGCTCCCAGCCCTGCCCTCCTGCCTTGGTTCTAAAAACTGCACTTCTTTCTGCTTCTCTCTGGGTCTCCATCTCCATCATGATAATCTAACTAGTGACTCAAAATTGCTTTATTCTTGGCAGTCCTAGCTGCCAAGAACTGGAGACTTGGCGGTAAATCCTAGCCAAGTGCAAGGGCGGCCCCCAGCTCATGTCTTGCCTGTTGCTGCTGGCCTCTGAGGATTTCTAGCACCATTCCTTGAATCTCTCCCTCCTCCGTGTGGGTTTGTTTTGAAGCCCCAGTGCCCCTGTCTACCCCCAGCGCCTCCCCTACTGCTAAGCTCTTCAGTGTGGTAACTGTCCCCTGAGTATCTAATACAGAAAATGGAAAAAGGGTCATGTGCCGCCTCCTCCCATAATACACTCATAAAAGCTTGAAAGAAACTAAATCTTCAAAAGAAACAAAGCAAAGAATATAAATGCATGTCTAAACACATTTCCTGAACATGTGGAAGCTCTCTGGCCTTTCTCCTCCCTACCAAGATTACCATCATCTTTAATACACATAACTCACAAACCATCCGCAAGTGCTGTGTTGAATTATTTAGCATGATTTAGCATGGCTATTTGTTCTGTGTTTGACCTGTTTGGAATGAAATGAAGGAAAAGACATAAGACAGACACACAGGAGCACAATTATAGGCAAATCACACTAGGTTTCATTCATCATTCTTTGCTTTCATGCCAGGAACTATTTTGGCTTAGTTATAATACGCACATTATATTTCTTTCCAGGAGATACAAAAACTCATATAATACATATCCCTATACATACAGAGATAAAAGTGAACTCTACACAAAAGCCTGTGTCACAGGCAATCGCACTAGCACTTTAAGAAAAGAAGGGTAGAGTTTTCCTAAAGCACATGTTGGAATACCTAACGTATAAGTAGGAAATATGAAATGTCCCTTTGCGTGTCATACTGGACTCTACTCTGACAGAGCCAAGTAACTGAGAAACTGGAGTTATTTCAGGGACTTCACGGGCTTCTCATATAATGCATTACAAGGGGACAGACTTCCTGCTGAGAATATATTTTTCATTTTTATTGCATAAATTATGTGCTATACAATCTAATACAGTGATGGAACACTTTAACTTTCAAGTTACACAAACTTGGGTTTGAATTCCAATTCCTAGTCTCAGTAACTCTCTGAGATTCTGCAAATTAATTTATTTCATTAAACCTTGGTCACCTCAACTAAAAATGGTGAAAAGGTTAGCACTTACTTATAACATTTTTATAAGAATTAAATGAAAGAATGTATGAAAAACACAAAGCATGATTCTAGCATATAGTAAGCACTTACCACTACTGTGTCCTTCAAAGTTGCTGTTTGAATATTGAACATGCACTCAGGAATGGCCAGTTTTCACATTTAACCCTAGTACGTCCATTCAGATGAAACCCAATAAATAACACTGCTAACTTCTTCCTGCCCCACCAGTTGCTAATATCCAACAGCCCATTAGAGATTTTCATACGGAAATTACACCAGTATGTCACAGTTGCTGTGTCTGAAGTGAAGCTTACCATCTTCTGCCTAAAAAGAGTTCTTCCTCCTGACTTACCAGCTACTATTAAATTGGAAACATTCCCTCATTCTCAAAGATAGCTGGACTCATGAATTTGACTTGATTGAATTAAAGACTAAGGAAATTGAAAACCAGGACCAATGAACAGATCATTGTTCTTCTCCAGATATATATATTAGTCATTCTCTATATATCTATTAGTCATCATATATATCATGACTGTAATCCCTAAAATGTGGAGGAAAAAAATCAATGAAATTTTTTCAAAAGGTCAATCCAATTTAGAAAAAAATTTGGTCAATATTTAAATTTAAAGCCCTTAGTAGATTTCTTACAGGTCTCTCAGAGTTATAAAAAGAACCAAAATTCTTTATATTTGCATAGCACCTTAAAGTTTACTAAAATCTTTCACATATATTGACTCTTCAAGGATAGGAAAGTAGGGCTATTATTATTTTCTTACATGCAATAACACAGAGACAATATTTTAGATTGGATTATCAGGAAAGGTCAAGGCCACTAATAAGGTGCAGAAATCTAAGTCAAGTGAGGGACCAGCCATGCAGCTCTCTGAAGGAAGAGCAAAGGAGAAGGAATAGCAAGTGCAAAGGCCCTGAGACAGGAACATTCTTGGTTTGGTGGGGGAATGGCAAGGTGGACCATGGGGCTGGAACAGAGGTAGTCAGGAGCCCCATAATGTAGTGTCTTGTAGGCAACAGAAATAGCTTAGGAATCTTTACCTTGTACCTTTCCAAAGAGTTCTCAGGTAGCAAGTGGCAGGTTTGGGGCTGACTTTGAGTCTTCCAATTCAAAATCTGAGATGGTGACACATAAAAAGGGTTTCTTAGGTAAGCAGATAAGACCCTGGATGGCATATTTAAGTGCCACCCAAAGCCCACCATTTTATCTCCTCTATTAAACCAACAGCCAGCATAACTACCATCTATCATGTTCCAACTCTTCTATGAAACCAGCCCACACTCTCAGACGTTTCTCTTTTCTCTCCTTTTGCTCAACACCTGTTCATGAGGGCAGAAGGGCTGGCAGAACAATTATAGAAGAGATGATCCTTCTCCTGTTTTCTGCTTTAGCTACTTGTCGAAATTTAATTCTAATCCAAACTCTGTCACACTCTCTAGTTGTGACATAAGACAAGTCATTAAAGCTTCTTTGTTTTCCTGCCTCTGCAAAATAAAGATACTGATGCTATTAATAGTGTCAAAAGCTGCTTTATCCCAGAAAAATGAAGTAACAACTACATAACTGTTTTGGTTTCTTTTCCAGAAAGATGACATGTCAGGAAGTATTCATTAAGCGATGCTACATTCCCAGCCTATGCTAGGCACCATGGAGCATAAAAAGAAGTAAAATGCCCAAATCTCCACCACAGAGAACTCAAAATTCTATTCAGGAAAAGAATATGTCTGTATAAGCAACGATGAAAGCTTAAGGGTTTTGATGTTAAGAGAAAGGCTACAGTGACACGGCCAGTTTCCTTAGGCCCTACTCTCCAATGGGGCCCTAGGAATCAGCTGACATAATGCATTTATGTTCTGTTCAACAAAGCAAACCCAGTGGCTGTTACCTAGTGATTTCTGAGAAGACTCCTGTAACCATTCCCACCCTCAACCTTTCCCACTGGCCCACCAAAGGGCCTGTAATTTTCATTTTTGGGGTCACTTCTTTGGAATAAATATATTCTGTTTATTGAAAGTCCTTACTAGAATGCAAGCAAGTTACTAAGAAGAAGTAACCCATTAACTGATTAGCGTGGATTCATAGATCATTTTCACACCAAGGAGAAAGGCCTTAGGAGACTGTAAATATGAAAGGTTTTGGAACAAGAGATAAAGTTTGAGAAAACTGGAACAAAGGAACCCAGAAGCAGAGACCCTAAGACCTTCATGCATCTACTGGGTAGAGTGCTCAGAGGAGAAAAAAAGAATGTGAAGGGAAGATAAAGCGTGTAAGACCAACTCTGGCAACTTTCTGATTTTGCCTGGTGCTTCTCTGGTGTTCTAACCTGGGACTGAACAACAGAAACGATCTTGAGGACGCGCTGCTTCAATGCCTCCACTTTATGTGTGGTGAAAACATTACCCTGGGCATTTAAGTGACTTGCTCAATGCCATTCAGCAAGTAAGTGACAGAATAAAGATTAGAAATCTAGACTCCTGACTCCCCACCTGCTTTGCTAGGGTATAAAAAAAATTGGCAGCTCTTGAGATTAGGATCTTTGGGAAGGGTTTTTCCAGATCCTATTTTCAAGGCTTTTCAGTCTTCGAATTAAAGTTCTTTTATTTTGGCTATTCTGAGTGTTTATTCAAGAAAAGGCTATTAGACAGGGCTCACATTGGGATTAGTAGGCAAAGAGACTTAAACCTCTGATAGAGTACATCTCAAAATTCAGAAGCAGAAAAGTTCTCCTGAATCAGAGGTGGGTGCAATACGCAGACACATTTCCTCTTTTCTTCCCACACTCTCATCTTAAAAATAATACCAGACAGTCCTAGACATCAAAGACAGCCAGCTGAGACAGGAGGAAGTGACTGTTCAAACAAGGAGGGATTCAGCAAGGTAAGTCCCTAACAAATAGGCCCTGGTGATAAATGAGACAAAGGCATCACCGGATTGATCAGTGTCTCCAAAAACATATGCATCTAGCCCACAAACATCATGAAATGTTTTCTTGATAATGTCGGTGATTTGATTCAGTTTTGTAGATGAATAAGGCTTGATTAAAAGAATGAAAAAAATTTAAATGTCCCATTTTTCTCTTTAAGCTCAAGGGAAGACATCACAGCACAGTGAAAAAAGAATAGTGTTAGAGTCACATAGATGTGGTTTTTAATTTCTAACTCCTGGATAAAAGAAAGAGCACCATAAAGAGAAGTGTGAAGGGGGGAAATACAAATTTTATTTGTTTTACATATTTAGCCAGTATCTGTGTCTTTCAGAGATGGTACAGCACCTTGATTAAGGGCAGTGTTATGAAGCCAAGAAGATCTAGACTCATTACACAGACCTACTCTTTATTGGTTATGTGACCATGGGCAAGCTATTCCCCTTGCTTCTCTTGAAATAGTAATAATAAAAACCAACTTATAGAATTGTCATTAGGATTAAAATTGAAAAAAAAGTCACGTGTCAAGCACCTAGCATAATGCCTGGCCCACAGCAAATACTCAACAAAAATACATTCCCCTTCTTTCAAGTGCCCTTCCAGGAAAATCAATTATCTTTAGAAGTAATTTAAGAAGTACATGTCCATATACTTTAGCTCTCTAAATCTCCTCAATCATTTAAAATTTGGATTATCTGCACTTTAAAGATTTCTCCGTCTTTGAAAATACCCCTTAGAGGAACAACACCTGGGATTTTAAGATACAAAAATTTGGGAGGCATTCAATTTAAGAGTGATGAAAGTGATAAGATTAAAAATATTATATTCCTATGTGGGAACAGGTGTTACAAGCAAAGGCAGAAATAAACAACAGACCAGAGGAAAATACTTACAATGCAAAGGTTAATAGTCCTATTTTTATTAAAAGCTCTTATTAATCAATAAGAAAAATACAAATGTCAATGGAAGAAAGGTCAAAAGATTTGATAGGCAACTTAGATAAGCCCTATAAATAGCCACTAAGCACATGACATGTTCAACTCAATTAATAATAAAAGAAATACAAAGTAAAACCATGAGATATTATTTTGCCCATTGGATTGGCAAAATTAAATAGATTGATAATATCCAGATTGACAAACTTAAAAGCCAAAGGGAAGGTAATATTTGGTGAGAGAAACCTGGCATTATCTGTAAAAAATTTATATGCTTATACTCTTTGACCCAGAAATACAACTACAGAAAGAATTATGGACATGATCAATGATAAATGTACAAGAATATTTGCTGCAATTGTATTTGAAATATTAAAATCATTGATAACAATTTAAATACCAATGTCTTAGGATGCTTTTGGCTGCAAGTAACAGAAAAACATTTCAAAGTGGCTAAAAAAATAAGAAAGTTTTATTATCGTGTGTGCCAAAAATTTAATGGGAAAAGTGCTGGTTAATTTATTGGCTAAATGACATCATAAAGGACAAAGTTTATGACCATCTCTTCCTTCTACTTTGCATATAAACTTTGCTCTCACAATAACTCCACTCACCAATGTATGGAACCAAAAATCCAGGCTTTATAACAATGCCGAGCAAAAGATGAACAGCCATCTTTTCATAACCTGTGGAAATAACGTTAAAAAAACCCATCTGTTAGACTTCCTCTCATTTCCCTTTGGCCGGAATTATATCACATATCTATTCCTGAGCAATTGCCTAGCAAGGAGAATGGAATCCCCTCACTTGGTTTAAGAAAGAACATAGCTTCCTACCAGTAAGTGGGTCACCTAAATTACATCTGGGATCTACCTTAAAGGAATAGGAAGAAGACTTGACATGGAAATATTTTATACTTAGATTGAAAAATTGTATACACATTTAGTTACCTCTGTTAAGTAAGATTGAGAAGTAAATGAATCAGACTAGGAGAGGTTATGTTATGAATACAAATAAGACCTGAATTTCAGTTTAATGCAATAATAATATAGGTTTTCTTTCATTCATGTCATGATCTTATGCACATTGCCTGGCTTTCCTGGGTAGTTCACCTTCCTAGCAGTGGCAGAGGGATCCAGGTTTCTCCTAACTTGTGGTTCTACTTAATCTCAAACAAGTCATCTCCAAAGTCATTGCAGAAGGAAAAGAGAGAGCATGATGACAACCCAGGGACTTTATAGCCAGCCTTGGAAGTGAGCTACATTACTCCCATTAACCACTCATTGGCCAGAACACAATTACACAGTCCTTCCTCTGACTGCAAGACAGGCTGGGGAATGTTGTTTGTGTGCACAGAAAGGGGAAATAAAATCCCATTTTGATTGTATGTAGCTTCGTCTCTGTCAGAGGAGATTTTTTTTTAATGATCTTTATTTTTTACTTTATATACTTGTCTTTTTTTTTTTTTTTTTTTGCAAATAACTCATTACTTTGTAATTTAAAACAGTTATGTCTATAAAGGGGGAAAAACAGTCCCTGGTCATGCCTGATAAGTACTTTTACTGAAAATATTTAATCCAATTTTCCTTGTATGAAAATCCTTTCTCTTTTTTTTTTTTCCATCATGAGGACTTTGTTACAGAAGAAAATTATAGCGGAGAGTCTGTAAGTTATGGATTCACCTTGTAGCATCCTAAAAGGTCAAGGATTCAGGATCTGGGGAGGCAAAGGATTCAGGATACTCTGATCAGAAATCTTAGGAACACACAGGGACATACAGGAATTGGTGTTACTGCTTTTTTTTTTTTTGACTGTTTGTATTTTTGTTTACTTTTCCTTTTTTATTTTATTATTTTTATTGTGGTAAAGTACACATAACATAAAACTTATCATTGCAACCATTTAAAAGTGTACAATTCAGTTGCATTAAGAATGTTTACCATGTTGTATAGTCGTTACCGCTATCTAGTTACAGAATTTTTCATCACCCTAAAGAGAAACCCCATCCTCATTAAGCAATTACTCCCCATTTCCCTCTTCCCCCAGCCCTTGGCAACCACTAAGCTGTTTTCCGTCTCTACAGATTTGCCTATTCTGGATGTGTGTGGCCTTTTGCCTTTGGCTTCTTAGATGACTTGACATGAATCAGTTATGTGATGATGGGCTAGTTTATCTGAAACCAGTCTTGTTCAGAAAAGGGGCTTATTTCAGTCTATAGCCTTTTGACACCATCTATTTTTCTCTACACCAAGAAAAATAAGCCAGAGAGTAGTTGGAAGCAGTAAACATATAAATAGGAAATTATAATAACATATGGGAAACACAATGGTAGATATTTGCATAGAGTGTTTGGGAGGAACGCAATTATCCTACACTAAGCAGCCTGAGCTGAATTCAACAGAGATGATACTAGGTTTCTGTGTTAACGGATGAAGAAATGTTAACCAAAGAGGTCTTGGGAAAGAGGAAGGAAGGCTATGAGAGATAGAGAAAATATATTGAAAAAGACACCTTGAGATGCTTTAAGCAAATTGGCAGCTCAACAGTCTGCTGAATAAATTGTAACTCAGAGGCAAGGCCATAAAACAAGGGAGATTAGAAGCAAGGAAGGTGAAACTGGAAGAATTCGCTGTAGCAAAACTCCATCTCATCTCCACTATTGCTGGGGCCAATCTTTCAGTCAAATCAGATCTCATCTCTCTCAAAATCTTCAGTCACACTTAATTCACACACATTTTAATACTTAAGGATATATTGGCTCATAATCTTCTTTATTCACATCTCATTTCTGGTTGCCACAAGCAGGTATTATCTACTTCAAAGCAGAGATACACAGAAAATATTGCATTGAAACATAAAGGAGTATCACCTTCCCTTACAGGCAACGTAAAGACAAGGACATCAGAAAGATGGTGAGGTAGAGACCTTTGTTTTTTAAAATAAATAGGTAAATAATAAGACATATCCTAGCCCAGGCTAGGATGAGGATTAGTAACAAAACCAAGCAATTGTGACCAACACTTGCTTCAGGACTTGTGTGGTTTCTTGCCTGGGCAGAACACCCTTTTCCTTTGGTACCTTCGATCTGCTTATACTTCCTTCATTTCCTATAGTTTTGCTTTCTCTGTCAATCAAGGCTTTTCTCATCCCCAAGTCAAAGCATGCACACATGAGCCCAGTTGGCTCTGCCACCCAGAGACCAGAGCTCCCCAGGAACTAAAGGGCAGCCTCTCCCCAGGGCCACATTTAGAATGACTCAGCATCATTAGAGTCACCTTAGTAGTCAAGCTTTGGGGAGAGCTAGTTTAACTAGCTGACTTGGGGTCACATGTACCTTCCCTTGACTGCTGAGGTCCTAGTTTATCCAAAGCCTAAGGAGAACATCTAGGGTTGCATTCACTGCTGGGCAAATATTCCCACTGAGGCATCAGCATTCTACCACCAATCTCTGCAAAAATTAAAAATCTCCTACATCTCAATCTTCCTCCATGACCCTAACCTCAAGCCAAGAATTTCTCTGTTATTTAACCAAATTCAAAGGTACTGGTCATAAAAATTAAAGTGGAAAAGTCATTGCTACACACACACCTTACATTGGTGTCATTTTCACTGTTGTACATGTGACGATCCTGGAAGATCCACGTTTTTGAAAGAATTAATGGTAACCCCAGCGCACATGGTACCCAACTTCTTTACGTTTTGATGATTTTTAAGAGAAAGAAAATAAAGGCAGAGAGACACAGACTTTCTTTTGAATAACAAAGACATGCAGAAGAGCCAAATTCTTGGACAAGAAAAACAGACAGAAAGGAATGTGGAATCTTACCACACATAATAGATTCAGGTAGCTCAAGGATAATATTTTCTTTAAAAAATATTCATTACACTTGCCTGGAGAACTGAAAACCGTTACTCTTTGGCCAAACAAAGCAGAAGAAGAATGTTGGATTTCATACCAACCCATTTCCCTATGCACATAGTGCTAGATAACCAAAATAAATGTTGAAAAATACCGATCGTGTTTCAGACACCCAGAAAAGGTAATGTGCAAGGGCTACTGCTCCTTTCCACAGCTTAAAGGGGGAAAACATGTAAAATGAGGCAATTGGATATTTTTAGGGGGAGGATTCAATTTTTGTGAGGATTCAATGAGATTTTATATATATATATATAAATTGTACATATGTATCCTGTGCCTTGCACATAGATGGTTAATAAATATTTATTATTATCATTACATGTCTTGGTGCCATTTGTCAGGGTGAAAATCTAAATAAGACCAAGCCAACATTTCCTTTCTTAAGTTATTTTTCTTACTATTAACAGGAAGTTTGGCTTCTTACCTCCCTTTATCCTTTCGCTATTATCAATATTATGGCAGACCAACACTTTACAATAAAATATGGAGTAATCTAGTATCAAGACATCAGAAATGGCCTAGGCCTCAGTGCTCCAAACATCCTTCTGACAACCACTCTAAAACACATAGCAACAAAGAATGAAGGGCAGAGAAGAACAGCCATGGATAGAATTTATTAAGAAACAGTTTCTCAACATAAAGAGGAATTTTCTAAAAACCAGAGCCCTCAAAATATGGAATGGGCAGCCAAAAGTTGATAGAATCTTACAGTTGAAGAGGACTTCAGAGTTCTTCAGTTGTCTTCTCGAGTGTGAATTCTTTCTATACTATCATTGAAGAGTTACTCTATTTCCTTCTTAAGTACATTTAAGAAAATCTTAAGCACGAGAAACTCACTTACTGTGCAAGATGACATCCCATTTTAAGAAAGCTTTCCAGGGGTGGGCAAACGTCTTTTGGTAAAGGGGCAGACATTAAAGACTTTTGGCTTTGTGGGCCACATACGGTTCCACTGCTGCTGCTGCTGCTGCTTCAATAACCCTCTGAAAGTATAAAAACCATTCTTCATTCATAATCCCCTATGGATTGAATGTTTGTGTCCCCCCAAAATTCATATGTTTAAATCTGAACCTCCAACGCACTGATCGCTGGAGATGGGGCATTTGGGAGGTAATTAAGTCATGAAGGTGGAGCCTTCATGAATGGTACTGTGCCCTCCTAAAAAGAGACACTAGAGAGCTTTCTTCCTCTCTGTGTCTCTCAGCCATGTTCAAGAAGACAGCCATCTGCAAACCAGGCAGTGGGCCCTCACCAGACACCAGATCTGCTGGCACCTTCATCTCAACTTCTTAGATTCCAGAAATGTGACAAATAAATGTGCATCATTTAAGCCACCCAGTCTATGGTATTCTGTTATAGCCGCTCAAACTGACTAAGACACAGTTCATAAAATACAAGTCCATGAAAACAATATGGCGTTTCCTCAAGAAATTCAGAATAGAACTACCAAATGATCCAGCAATTCCACTTCTGGGAATATAACCAAAGGAAACAAAAACACTAACTCGAAAAGATATCTGTACCCCCATGATCATAGCAGTATTATTTATAATAGCCAAGACATGGAAACAACCTAAGTGTCCAATGATGGATGAGTGGATAAAAGAGTTATGGTGTGTGTGTGTGTATATATATATATATATATATATATATATATATATATATATATACAATGGAATATTATTCAGACACAAAAAATGAGGAAATCCATAATTTGATCCTGGAGGCATTATTCTAAGTGAAATAAGTCAGAGAGAGAAAGACAAC